GTTCACAGAACAGGGAGCAGAAAACTTCCCATTAGTCACTTCTCACAACCTGCCTCTGTTGAGCTATCTGTGTAATATGAAAATTAGAAAAAAATGCAACCGGCTTATTGTAGTTACCACCATACAACCTTCCAGTGGGCAGATATGAGGAATAAGACAAAGAGAAATGCTGCGGGCATTCATTTACTCCTTCAGCTGCAGTAACATTGTCTGTAACCTCTGCTTTATGAGCCTGTCCTTTATTTGCAATGATGAAAAGAAGATAATACCTGGTTGTGTCTGATGGAAAAGAGCCTGAATTTAAAGGACTGCATTCCTTGTAATGAAGCCCTGTGTTACCCATTTGCCTTCATTGCTCAGCTGAATGCAAGTGCCGGTAGAAACCTTCTACCTCGAGTGCATGCCCTGCCTCAGGAAATTGAGTTTGCTGGGATCCCAAGGTTCTCTGTGTGAACCAAAGAGGGACAGCTACAAGAGCTGCTGAATTGGTGCTGCCAAACAAGCCCGCCTCGCCCTCACTTTGCACCAAGCTGATGTCAGTCAGAGGCTAACCCAGCCTATGTGGCCAGGCTGATCCTTGGCCTCCCCACTGAGCAAACTGACACGCGGCTGCTAAGTGCTGGTGGTGGCCATAGGTCTGTGTGACACACGCGCTTGCTGGCCATGAACTGTGCCATTTTCCCAGCTTTTACAGCAGACCATTCCGCTGTCGCTGGTTGGGGTCAGTCTGAACAAGCTGCCATTAGAGGTACTGTGCACTCTTCACATTTCTCCCTGGCGCCATGACCTGTCCTAAAGAATGCCAAATGAGTTCGTTGGCAAAGATGGGAAGGGATTCCCAGGGCCTTTGGCTGTGATGTCCTTTGGGGGATCTCTAAGCTAGGCTGGTGAGAGTGACTGGGAACACTCTGCTTACATAGCGCTCATTGCTTCCGCATATGACACATGCCGTGCCCTAACGCGCCTGCTTGTTCCAGAACTGATAATTGTCTTGAGCCACTGCATTTACCTTGCTGAGAGCCTCGCATGGGCGAAAACCTTGGCTGATGTAAGAGGACTTTGCTCTGGTTTTGAACCTTTTCCTCTTACATGTTGAGCTGCATGGGATTTTCTAAGAAAAGATCGCACCGTGTTTTACAAAGGTAGCTAAACCCCGTCATTTTCATGTCATAGATGGTAACCCACCCTCCTAAGGAGTCTGTGTGACCTGACTGAGATCAGCCAGAAAGTTAATGGCAGAACCGAAAGAGAAATGTGGCTGGCAGAATTTGTTTCTTTGCTCCACACTACAGGCCTGCCAGTGGCCACAGCGGTATTTCACTCAGTATTTCACCACACAAGTGCATTTCACTGCTCGTTATAACCTGAATCAATGTGTCTGTCTCTCCATATGTATTTTTAAAAAGAATCACTATTGGAGGCTTTAACTAGGAATCATTAGCTGGTTGTTAGATAATGCAATGGAATGCATCTGCCCAAACAGCACGTAACACTAGAAATCAACACACACTCAGCACTTAAGAGAAAATTGAAAAAAAAAAATCTAACACCTTGACCAGGATAATATGTCCACTAAACTTTCTGCCATGGAGCATTGACTAGATCTGCTCCCAGGAACCTGGATCCAAAGCACACCCAGGAGGCTGTAACACTTTGGCTTTGGTATTCTTCAAAAGAAGACCAACACAGAGCCCGCAGTACTAAGCCCAGCCTCAGTCAAGCAGAAATAGAGGGACAAGTTTCGTGTGGTTTGTTCCGCTCTGCTTTTGTCTCTAAGAGAAGCAGAAAATAAGGCTTAAACTACAGCGTCCATTGCACTGCTTTCTGCGCAGCCATGCTGTGCTCACTAAGATACGTTGTCTAACTGAAAACATTTTTCAAGGATGACTATTTTGCCATGAAACTGTGTTCTTAGGTTAACTGTGCATGCTGCAAAACAGAGCAAAAATCCCCATTGATGTCTGCAGCCAAGGTAGGAGGCACCACTTACAGCAGGTCGTGTGTGAGCCAGGCAGAAATATTCTAACGAGGATGACTGAAGATAACATGGTTATAGTCAAATGATAGATGGAAAGTTCTTGTGGGAAGTAGGGTGCTTGAGGGGTTTGACATGAACATTGATTGCTGACCAAAGAATTAAGAGCTTCTGTCACTCGGCAGCTTCTCAGTTATATGCACTGTTTGCATGCAGGTTTACACAGGTACATGTATGTGTGTGTGTGCTTGCATACACAATAAGATTATCATGCACAGAACCCAGTGCATTAAATGGGAGCAGGGAAGCTCCCGATGTAGAGATGACTGACTGCTCTGTCTCCATCCTGCCAGCTCTGGTGTGGTTTGTGCATTGAATACTGTACAGATTTTTTTTTTTTTTTTTGTACTGTCTATTTTGCCATAATTATAACAAGACTACTGCGCAGCAGAGGAATGTTTTTTTTCTAAATCTTGAAGAGGTCATTAAACCATAGCTTTTGCTCTTGTTTGTAGCCTTTATCTGCATTAGTTTGGAGTGAACAAGTTTCAGGCAAAGCTCAGTATGGAGCTACAGGCGTCCCAAATGTGTCCTGATAGCGCCGGTGCAATGCCGACGGATCGGCGCAATGCGGGCACGTACAATTCGTGTACCACAAAAAATAATTACTGGGGAGTAAATTTAAAAAAATGTTTGGGGGAGACTTTAAAAGTGGAATTGAAACAGCACTGTTTTGCAGTCTTTCACCTGAAAGACTTTGTTAATGCTGGACTATTACTGAGGATGACAAATAAAATGTAATCAAAACATTTTTGGAAAATCTAATAGCCTAAGGTGCTGTTGTCCTTACAAGGAAATCCCCATTCTGAAGTGCAGTATTTGCAACCTTTCTAGGGATGGAGATAACTTTTCCTGTACAGACCTCGCTGGTGGTCTCAGGTGCCAAGCAGCTCACAGACAGCTCTAACAGCTCTGGATATTGCACCAATGACATTTCTGCTTTGTAAACTCCGTATTTTGAGAAAACACAGAAATACGTTTCTAGCAGGTTGGTTAAGAAAGTGTCATCTCTCCGTGGCAGCTCAGGAATTGGAGTGTTAGAGGAGCTCCAGTTCATACAGTGGGTAAGGGGAGCACAATGTGCCGTTATGGAGCATTTAACCTGTTCTCTAGGTTTACTTTGACCACAGAAGATAGAAAAAAATGTGTGTTTGCCTTGCAAACCAACACTTTGCTCATGTGTCGTGCACGGAGCCATAGAAGCCACCGCAGTGACGGGGTTTGCGTTGCCCGTGGCTGCAGTGCTGGGTCCTACTGTGCTACCATTTCCTGTCCTACTGCAGTGCTTCCCAGCTCACAGTGCCATCCTTGTCTTGCATGGACCCGCAAGTTCTGCGACCTGCACTTGTGCCTCGGTGGCTCCACACTCAGATGCCATCAGAGTATGAATCAAATATGGCGGGTTGCAGCTGAGCCTCTCCAATAGAGCTACATTTAGCAGTTACAAAGCCCTCATCCTTTTCAAATCATTTTACAAACACTATCCGGCCAATTTCTGTCCTTCCTCCAATCTTCATCCCCAGACTGAGAAACTGAGGTACGCACTCAAGCCCTGCCCTACACTGGCTGCACAGCTGAGAGCAGTACCTGGCCCTCAGTCTCCTCGCTGGGACTCCGCAGCCCCACGCAGCACTGAGTGCGGCGGGGAGGAGATTTGGGGCACGGGGTCCCCAGTTAGCAGCACACCTGAACCATGGGGAGAAGGGCACACCAAGCCCTCTGCCCCCAGCCCCGGCTGTCCCTGAGCTCCTCTGTACCTCAGTCCCTCACAGGGACAGCGCGCGTCCTTCCGCACCGCCCGTGCGAAGTGTCTGAATGTCAAACTGTTATTATTTCAGTACCTGACTGAGAGAGGAGCAGAGACCTGGAGGTTTTTTAGGAGGGTGTATAATTAGCCGATCAGTATTATGTTACCCTGTTCATAACTTAATAACCATTTTAATACAGATGGCACACACAGGGATAATTTCCTAGGGTAGCCTAGCAGTATATTACAGAGACAGTGTGTCTGAGGGAATCTTCCTCAGCCAAGGTACATTCCAGCAGCTAATTCTACCTGCTGTTTTCAAGATGATTTGGGATAATTCCATATCATTTGCAAAATATTAAAACCCATTTATATAGGATGCCAGATTTAGAAATACACAGCCTGAGTTATTAGACATATTTTGATAAATCTGCCACGTAAAGCGCGAGACAAAAAATACCGCTGTGTTTTCCCCGCTATTTATTTTTTTCTTCCCTTGCTATAAATACACCAGATTTAAAAAAATCTGGCTAAACTCGCTGTATATCAAGAGGACAAATATACTGACGTGTGCGGTTTTATCTCTGTAGGCACGAGGAAAGTCCGCGTGCATATTTACGTACAGCCTGTGTGCTTTTATTGCAATGGGAGCTCCATATATTTGGGACTGCGTGCAGGATTTCACATCCTTACACCCGATGGGTTCTGGTGCCCATGTACGTGCCCTTTGCCAGCGCTCCCGTGCCCTTGTGTTTCTGTAGGCACACTGGAGGTCCGTGCAGATGCACTGCACAACATCGGGGTTGACTGCTGTGCCCGCAACTGTGTTCCCGAAGCGTCCAGCATTTGTACGCGCAGCGGGCAAGCATCCGAGCACCTCGCAGTGAATTAATACGTGACCCTAAGTGCTGCGCGCCGTTTCCCCCCGTATCTATCATTTTCTGCCTGTCACACCGTTACTTTTCTCACCCCGACCCCCCACCGACGACAGCCGCACCCCGCAGCAGGGAGCCGGCGGGACGCACGCGGTGCTGCGCCCGGCCGGGAACGGGGCTGGGGAGCGCTGGGCGCCCGGGGCTGGCAGCTCCGTCCCGAGCCTCTCTGCCGCCGGGGCCTCTCGCCCGGGAGGGCCTCCCGCAGCCCTGGCCGAACGGGCCCGGCTCGGAGCGCGGCGAATCCCGGGGCGCACGGGGAGCTGCCGTGGGAAGGACGGGGAGGGCCGCGCTGCGCGGGGCTGTGGGGCCGGAGGAGACGAGCGGGCCGCGGACTCGCCCTTACCTGTTTATGGAGGAGACGCTGGGGACCGTGTCGTTGTCGCAGATGCCCTCGGCCAGTAGCCTGTCCCGAATCTCCCAAGCGAACATGGTGGGGTTTTGTCTCTTGTACTCGGCGATTTTATCCACTACTTTGGGGGTCGCTACTTTGGGCTTGGAGCCGCCGATCACGCCGGGCTTGATGCTCCCTGTCTCGTAATACCTGCACGCAGAGAGCGGAGGTCAGCGGCGCCCCGCAGCGCCCCGCGCCCACCGGGCTCTGTGCCCCGGGCTGCTGCTCCGCAGGGCCCCGGGCTGCGGGGCCGCCGCTCGTCGCCAGGGCTCGCCCCTGCTCTCTAATTTCCTTTTTTCTGTCTTTCTTTTTCTTTTTTT